ATTTATGGGCTCTGAGGTTACAACAGAACTTCCTCTTTTTAGGGAGGAAAATGTTTAAAATGAATGTAGGAAAGGCTCAGAAAGCTTCTTGGATATCAAATGTCTTCATAGGAAAAAAAATGTCAATGATATAAGAGTAAATGAATCAAAACCATATGGATCAAATTTTCCCTAAAATACACAGTTTGAAAAATTAAGGAGGAAAAGTGCTTGGCAAAAATGTGTTTTAGGTTTTACCAAACCCAAAACATTCGAAGAATCATTTGCAATGGTTGATGAACCCTAAATGCAGCCAAGTCGGCCCATTTTGTATACTACAAAACAAGAGAAAAGCTTCCTAGAAACCGTGTTCAGGAAATCTTTAGAAACTGTTACCAAAGAACTGTGGAGTTTGTAGAAGCAGGGTGGGGGGTGAGGTATGAAATGATACAAGTTTGTTAATTTAATTGGTCTTGTTTTGGGGGTTTGGCTATGTGTGTCTTGGGGGTGGGGGAGCAGTGAGGGTAATATTTCTTGCAAAGAAAAGTTAATTAGAAGAACATGGGCCAAATGTTAATTAGCTTCACATCTTGAGCATATGGTAGTACTTCCTTGGCACTGTATTGCAAGGCAGCATTCTTTTTTCCTCCTGCATGGGTAGGAAGGTGCTGGTAATATGCTCTCTGGGGATGGAGGGGAAATAAATGGTCTGTGTTGCCCCAGGTACTATATTGTCCTCACATCAACAGAACAAAAACTTTCAGGAAGATGGTGCTACAGAAGAAAGCCCTTGTTGCAGTGAGTTAAATGCTTTCCTTCCCAGAAGGTATTTTGTCATTCATTATAAGCCCCATCTCCAAAAACGTTATGCAATTGAAACAGCTATCCAGAGATGGTAGAAAATTTTGAGGTCATTAGCCTCTCTCCACCCTCTCACCCATCACTGAAAATCTCGCCTCAAGTTCCCTGCTACATCCAGCCTTTGATGGGATGTGAAACCAAGCCCACCATTTGTGAAACCATTCAACCATGCAAGCACGAAAATTCAGTCAAATATCACTGGGGCAGCCCTTGGGAAACTTCTTACCACATTATGCTTCCTCTTGGCAACCAGCCACTAAAATGTGTAATTTGTGTTCATAGGAGAACTAGTAAGAACTGGACGAGAGATAGAGTCAGCTCTTAACCCTGCCACTAACGCACTCCATCATTTAGATGATTGTGCTGCCTTGGCCTCAGTTTTCCAATGAGTAAAATTGATAATACTCCCCAGATATTGTTGCTGATTCCCTCAGAACAAGAAAAAATTGCCAGTGATTAAGTAATGCACAGACCCTTTCAGCAACTTGAAAAGGAATAACATCAGAGTTTCTAAACGTTGCTGTTGGTGTTCTGAAATGTAAGCTGTCGCAAATACAGATCAGTCCATTGCCAAACTCTGACCATCTGGACAGGTGTGACCTCCCTGAGACACTGTTTCACACCAGCCCCTCATGAAGCTGAGACCCTCTCTGAGGAAAGGACTGAGGCTATCTATGATTCACGAGTAGGCAAATGGTTCTAATTCCCAGCCTTTGCTCGGGGGAACAGATATGTTAGGGACACAAAACAAAAACCAACTATATGTACACAGAAAAACAAAACAAAAAGGAGAAATGCTTTGGCTATCCTTATAGTGTCTAGAAAGCCCATGGCTTCTAGACACTATAGAATGGTTCACACACACTCTAGCTCACAATTTCTAAGTGTGGATGGCAAAAAATACATCAATTTCAATGACTCTAGGGAAAAAGCTGAAGAATACGCACAAATGTTTTTAACATGTCAAATAGCGTCCACCAGAGAGATCGATAGTGAATTATTGACCATAATGACTCAAAAAACTATATCCAATTCGGTTTAAATTGACAGGTAACAAAAGGCCTATGATGACATGTAAAAACAGAGAAAGGCAAGATGCAAAGTTGTATACGCTACTTTCTACTATATCAATTATGTTTCTAAAACAGGCATAAGACCCTAAAAGAGCTAGAAGGCAATATGCAAAGATATTCATGGTAGTTTCCCTGGGGCATTTTTTTCCTACTTCACATACACTTTTTAAGCAATTTTTTCATTTCTCTACAATGAACATCCAGTGCTTTTATTATGGGAAGAAGATAAAAGATTGATGGAAATTAAGCTTAGCAAAAACAGCTTAAATTAACCTGAACAGAAAATTAAAAAGAAAACAATTAGTCTCTACTAAATTATTTTATAATATGACTAAAACCCCCTGCATCTGTTTTTTCATAAAACTTCTTTTCTCTTCATTCAACTATGGGCTAAAATGGACAAGGTCTTAGACCAGGAACCAGGAATTGTAGATTCTAGTCCCAATTCCCTCCCTCTCATTCCTTTGGCTGGCAGAAAGTGACAATCATTTTGTGCCTCAGTTGATTCTTCTGCATATTAGATAACCAGACTGCAGTAGAGGAGGCAGAAGAGTAAGTAGTGAGGAAGATAAGAAATGGTCATTACAATGCTATTAGCTATTATTAGTTAGCACAACACTGTCTGTGTTATATGATCCAATATATTAATAAGTATTCTATGATAAGCAGTGGCTTACAGGTCACCAGTCTTTCTCTAGCCTCTTCTAGAGTTAACAGGTAAACCAAGGTGTTAGACATGAGCTCTTTGCTTCCCATTTTTCTTTAAAATATTTTTAAGGAAGCCAGGCAATCAAAAGTAGTGTAGGCACCTCTTGTTTAAACAGAGTCATTACAGAAAGGTGATATAGCCCAATGGCTACAGAAATTCAAGTTTGAATCCAATTCTCCTACTCCATTGTTTCATAAATGTTTGCCAAGATATGATGGACTCATGGTTCTCTGTTCTCTAACTTTGCCTGAGGAAATAAGGAGAAACTTCATATTATTTGTCTCTTTCCTAACTCAGCGGGGTTGCTACAAAAACCAAGACAACATACATTCCTAGTGGTGGTTTGAGGTGGAAATGTGTGGTAGAAATGCAAAATACCCTGCATATTGCAATATAACAAGGAATTAACATAATATGTAAGATGTAGTAAAGAAATGCAGGAAAAAATTGCCTATGGAATTTTCCGTTGCTTAGTGCTAGAATGATTCCGCCCTGCCATCAACTGCAGAATCATAGCTAGCCTTCTTGAAGTCAAGGATTAATAGTTAGGAGATCAAGTTCTAGCAATTCTACTTACGTAATACTTATATAATACAAAAGAATACACACCATAACATACAAGATAATACACTTATACAAGAAACTACAAGTTTCACTTATAGAGTACAGGTTTTCATGTTACTTTTATTACCACTGAATAAATAAGGCGCTCAGAAATGCCAACAGAATCCTGAATCTCACTTTACAGAAGCAGCTAGGGTAGGAGTTTACTTTTATTAAAACTTTCAACAAAATCATGTTCATAATAAGCTTTTCTATGGCCCCAAAACTACAAACGTTAAAAAAAAATATCACAGAGATAAGTACTTCTAATGCTACTTCTAAGTTGTGGAAGAAGCTTATATGCTATGAATCTGGGTATTTTAAGGATGACTCCGTCAGTGGAAGTCCCTGATTTTTATGCAGAAATCACACTCACAAATGCCAGTACTTGGAAATAAAATGTATTCAAGTCCTGTAGGAAGCACTTTTATTGTTTTCATGTTGTTATTTTTCAGCTGAGGTTTAAAGCCACCTCATTTTTTTTTTAATCCCAGGATGTGCTATAGGAATCTATGAAACTTAATTACATTTACTGTTACAAAAAAGGATTTATGAACTTTTGCCTTTAGGCGGAAATGTTTATTTCATTGCCTTTGCTATCCATTCTTTTCAACTCCTCCGGCTTTGAACTTTTCAGCTGCTCAGAGTTATCACCGTCGTGCAGAGCCCAGGAACTCCACTCCCAAGACACACACCACAAGTTGAAGAAAACGAAGAAGGCAAAGATATACGAGTCGTTATTTTGGCCACCCTTTGTGCCATTAAAATCTCATTTTCTGCCTATTAGAATGCCCTCTTGGTGCTTAGGCAGTGGTGATAGTCAGTGATTAGTGTGTAATTGAGTATAATTGTCTTTTCACTTTTCATTTGTGTCATTCTGAGCTTCTCTCTGTTTTTCTAACCACCAAGAGGAGAAAGGGGGTTGAGAACAGATAAAGCTGTTTCAAACTCTCTGAAGAGGTTCTCGATTGCAATTATAGATTGGAACCCCTTGTGACATTTCTCCAAATTTAGTGGGCAGCTCTCCTCACCACCTGGGCCAAGCACTCTCTAATAAAATCAAGGGATCTGTATTTAAACAACTGCTAATAATGTCAACCTCAGACAGATGCCACATGTAGAAAATTTAACCAACCCTCTCACATGCAATTATCAAGGCAATTTATTAATATGATCTCGCAAGAAAAGCTCACAGTCCAATGCAAATTAGAAAAACAATTACAACATTCAAATATTTATATAGTCCCAAAGAGCAGTAATTCCCCTTATTTGTGCATTTATAACTCATTTATTCCAAAGTTAGCAGTCATCATCTGGGTCTCTCTCCACAGGAATTGTTTGCTTCCTGATTGTTTTGTCAAATCTTTAGTGTTTCCTTACGAGGTGCTTTTGCTTGAAACCTCATCAGCTGACCAAAGACAATTTAAAACAAAAAATAAAAGCAAAAAACCTCCCACTGTTTGCAGGCTTCTTAACCAAAGCCCAGAACTAGGATGGAGACGACAAAACATGGCAAACACCTTCACAACTAAATATTAACATAAAGTCTCCAAGATTATATCAAAAATCACTTGAATTTTAAGTCTAAGCTACAACTTTTGATGCAACCGGTAGGAAGGGTGGAGAGAAAGGAAACTAGAAAACTGAAATCATGTGGCTTGTATAAAGAATACATTATGGTTTAAATTTGGCAATTCATTACACTACTGCCTCAGGGAATTGAGTATTTGGTTCTGGTATACAGCAAATCATCTGTCTAGAAACACGGGACTGACCTGAGGTGAAAGGCCATTGCCAATGGTGGCGTTCATGGGGTTGGAGGGCCCCGACGGAGGCACAAAGCTGTCTGTATAGCTGGAAAATCCATGCCTGGTGCTGGGGAGGCAGTAGGCAGAGCTGCTGTCTGGGTTGGAAGGAATCGTGCTTTGGTGTACTGTGCTCGGGGGAAGCGGTTGAGGTCTGTGAACCGTGCTGCTGGGATCCGACACGGCTGAAATGAAAAAGGTTGTCAATGGTCACGTTTTCTTATAGGCCAGTAGAGAAAATTCCGTGCAAAAGTTTATCAGCCACCCCTTCAGGAGCATCTATTGGTCAAATCAAATGTTCACTTCAAACTGCATTTCTTAACATGCAGGTATAGAATATATATATATAGTCATATTATCTCTGCACATATTTGCAAGTAACATACATACTCTCATGATACGCTCACCCAGAATACAAATGCAGAAATCATATTAGCAATGCTAACAAGCATATTTTGGTAGTGAATGTTATTCATCAATATGATAATCAACTAATGTGAGGACAGCAAGTCTCAAATTTCTCATCTAATATACTTTTAAGGCACCTAAATAGTTGTGCAATACAGTTTCAAATGCCTGGAATGCTCTTTCATAATCCAAAATAATTGGGTCTTAGAATTTAAATTATCCATTCACCTCTGTGTGCTAACAAATAATGACTGTCAAAATTCACCTTCCTTCTATTTTTCCTACAGTTAGTAAGCATCATAGAATTCTAATTAGTTGCAAACTGGAGTAAAATGTAGAGGTAAAATTTTAACAGAAGAAAAGCAAATTCCATGGTTATTTAGGAAGGTTGTTTTGTTTTAAAATACTGCCATGAAATTATATTACAGCACAGCTTATCTAGAGATATTCAGATACATCATAGAACAAACTATGTTTCTGAAATGTGGTAGGTGCTTTCAGGACAACCTGATGTATTATAATTAACATACAAACAACACGGATGTCAGCTCTGCAGAAGGATTCACTTGTATAAAATATCCACCAGAGAAATTGCCTGAAAGTTACTTTTTAATTTCCTTGACTCTTCCTCTATACCTTGTGGAATAGATGTGGGCTGGTAAGAGGTCTCCGACAGCTGGTATGTTGGCAGGGTTGGCATGGCAGTGGGAGGGAACCCCCCCGGAATGAGATGGTTGAAAGCCATCAGTTGATTGGCCCCAGCTTGCTTCCTCCATCTTGCACGGCGGTTGCTAAACCAGACCTATGGATTTAATTTAAAATTTAAGGATTTCACTGATGAAATAATAGTACATTCTTAATGAATTTTTCATGCTAAAACAGATTAAAGGCCCCTTACTGACAGGGCAAATAGATGCAAGAGTTCTCTGCCTTCTGTGTTGTTTGGGTGAACTGTCAGGGGTGAAAGACGTGTTTAGTGTCAAAGGTCGGTAGAGGGGCTTCAGGGACCCTCCATGGTCTTGCAACAACAGGCCCCATCTACCTTGTGATGGCCATGGGCAGGAATCACTGAGCTCCCCTCCCTACCCTCAACACCCACCCACCTGCATGTAAACAGACTTCCGAGGAGGATACATGAGCCTCTGTGACCCCTGCATGACACATGTCCTAAATTTGGCCTTGCCTATTACATCAAGGATTCTATCTTATATTCTTATTAGTCTATCTCTGTATTTCTGTGGTCACTACAGGTATAGCTTCTGGATGGTCATATGAATTGAAGAAAGGGTAAGTGGAGCCGTTTTTTCATCTCTTCCAAAATATGAGACATTGCACTGATATCATGGAAATCAATGCCAAAGAGGTAAGTGTTTCAAGAAATGAAAGTGTTTTTTATCTAAAATAATTTTATTTTTGCCTTACTTCTTTCAACAACAGCTTTATCCTCCTAGAATGCTCTGTGTCAAGTACTATGCCAACGAGGTGCATTCAGAAAAGCCTGATACAATGTAATAAAATGACCTCAAGGAATTCAAAGCCCAAATACTTTGTATGAGTCAATGGAGAGAAAGGGCAATCACGGCAGCAAGAAACATCTAAAATGTTGAGAAACTGTGATATAACGCCTTTAATGGGTCCCATGCTCCTGCCCAACTCCTACAGAGTTTAAATGTTGGACTTGGAGTGATTTTTCCATGAAGCACACATGATGTTTCCCCCAAAATGAGAGAGGATTTCGACCAGTTAAAGATATTCAAATTTCTACATCAAAAGTCTATTGAAATTTTATTTTTTTTAAGACAGAGTCTCCATTGCACTCTAGGCTGGAGTGCAATGGTGCGATATCAGTTCATTGCAACCTCTGCCTCCCAGGTTCCAGCGATTCTCCTCCCTCAACCTCCTGAGTAGCTAGGATTATAAGCACCCACCACCACACTCAGCTAATTGTTGTATTTTTAGTAGAGACAGGGTTTCACCATGTTGGTTAGGCTGGTCTCAAACTCCTGATCTCAGGTAATCCACCTGCCTCGGCCTCCCAAAGTGCTGGGATTACAGGTGCGAGCCATCCATTGAAACTTAATATGGAAGAAGGCACTGTGCTTAGGGTTGGAAGGATAGGAAGGGAGGAAAGTAGAGTCCCTGCACTCTTGTAGCTTCCTACCTCGTCCTCGTGGGATTCACAGTGCAGTCAAGGAGACCGAAATAATTGCTTGCTAGAGGTAGAAACTCCACATTTGGAAGCACAGAGAATCAGGAAAAGTGGAAGCAAAAAGTTTCGGCTCATTTTAAAGTTTGATTCTAATTTCGACAAGCAATCACTCGAGATGGAAGGACATCTCCTTCCTGCCGTACAGGGCAGGAAGATGTGGCTTGTATCAGGAGGCCAGCTTGTCTAAGAGAAGATGAGACTTGATTTCCTTACAGAACAATGTTAACAATTTTGCAACTTAATTGTCATTTTTAAAGTCAGATCATTGAAGAGGGGAGGAAAAGATTTGTCTTTTCTGGAGCAGGAGAGCCCAGTTTATAAAATCCTTTGCCAAGGGATCTGCTGAAACGTTTTGGTGCTCACCCAAGCATTTGTCTGAGAAGAGTTTTATCTTCTCTTGCCATTGTTGCAAGATACTGATAAGGAAAGCTGTTTGAACTTCCTCAAAACATCAATGTTTAATACTCCTTAAGTTTCCAACAGGAAAGCGAAGTAAGTTAATATTTTCCCATGTTGATACATAATTGAATTAGAGTTTTATTTAACTTAGTAAATTGCCACCTGGGGTAACAGAACCGTGAACAGCACTTAATTTCAGACCTGCATCAATTGTGTTTTCTCACTGCAAGTCTGAGCACCTGTTACCACGACTCCCAAAGGCATCAGGATAAGAAAATCATTTTCAAGAAAGTTCTGGGAACAAACTGTCTTAGCCTGGGGAGGCTGAGGGTGGGAAATCAGGGTCATGTGCATGCCTGAGGGCACTGTGCCATACCACACACTGTGTTTGTGGCTTATATCCTCATGCTTCAAGATTGAGGAGGTACTCCCGGCTCAGATGAGGTAGTCCTCTGCAACTATCTAGACCAACGACATATGGTGCATCTCCAGCTTTATATACTAGGTTGGGAGGAGAATCGGACTCTCAAAAGTTCTGATGTAACTTCACTGATGAAGATTTACTCTCCTCAATTCCACTGGCGAAATGCTTTATGAAGAACTCAGAAATGTACGTGTTGGTCGTTAGATTTGTTGCTAATCTCTCTGTGCCACCTGCCTTCTGTAGCCTTCAGATAAGTAAACCCAGGGTGGTGAAGCCTGATCTCTCCATCAATCTCAACTTACTATTGATTCAAGGTTCATTCTAACACCACAAGCCAGTTTTAAAAAACAAAAATGTCTTTGTTCAAATAACAAAGAAGAAACATCATGAGTTTCTACAAATACTTCAAAAGACAGAATCCAAACAGAGTAGGAGTATAAAGGTTTGGGGGTTTGTTTTCATATTTTCTAAAATGCTATAAATAAGTATTAAGGACATTGAGTAAACCCACCAGGAGTTGGATTAAAAAGTCTTCATATTTATAATACAATATCTATTATACCCACAACAAAAAATGAAGAGGAATAGTTGTGAAGCACATCTTCACTGAAAAACAAACCTTCAGCAGGAGGTTCAAGAGATTCCCGAAGGAAGGAATTTAAATGTTTAAATTCAGGCTCAATAAATGCAGAGGGCTATTCCTGACAGAAGCAGGGCTGGGTGAAGACTGGCCTCCCTGTCTCTGGCCATTTAACCGGAGTTGGATCATCTTACCATTGCCGGCTTCTGCATTGCCTAGCACAAGCTGGATTTGCAGAAAGAAGCATTAAAGGAAAAATATCCTAAAGTTGCAAATTAAGAAGTAGTTTTGCCTTCTTTATGCTTTGAAACTTAGAAAAGGCAAATCTATCTTTAGTAGAATAAAAAGAGTGCCCTAGAAATGATATTCACTTTCAATACCTGAATGAACCAAGCACAGCGATCCCAGGAGGCTGCTATCAGCTGACATTTAACTGAAATGTTCTTGTTACTCATAAGTCTTAGATAACTCTTTCAATATTGAATGACAGATTCCTAACAGACAATCAATGAATAATCTATGGAATGGCATGTGCGAGTGTTTAACACTGAATACGTTCCTCTAAAATATATATATTTATAATTCAGTGGTTACACTTTCTAGAAATTTCCTCATGTTTTGAAAAGAATAGCAATAGCAACAGAGGCAAATTGGCCTATGGCTGATGTTCTAGGAGAGAACAGAAATTTTCTACCCAATGTCTTTGCCAGTAGGGTGGAAAGAACAAGCTTTTCAAAGTTGGCTACACACCTTTAAACAAAATTCTATGATCTACAATTTGATGTAATTCTACCATCCCCATGCAAGACTACCTGGTCTTCCACATCACACTTAGCGTGGTAAGGAAGTGGGGGCAGGAGGCACAAATGGCTCAGTAACCTACTATTAAGCAGTTAATTGCCTCTCATTGCATGTATAATACTACATCAAACATCTCCCTCAAAGCAAGTTGTTATTTCATTTGATAAACTGCAGCCGGATTCATTTTTATCTGCCCCCTGTCCTTCCCAACTTGGATGTCTCTCTCCTGAGCCCTTACATAAAGCCATGTTTCATGTCTTTGAAAAATGATCTTTAGAGGCATTTCTCTATTAGTATAATGTCCAGTGATTTTTTTTGAAACAAAATTTTAATTGGTTGAAAGAGCCTCATAACATCATGATTATGAGGGGGAAAAGATAATGAATTAGAAAAGAAAAATAGGATTTTCATAACTTTTTCTCTTCATGAGTAAGCAAACCAATTTGTTCAGACTCTCAACATTGTAAGTTTGAGGGGAGAAAACTAGTGCTTTCTACAGTAAAGATAAAACAATACATCTTATTCATATGGGTGCAACGCAGACCAGGCAAAAGTTGAGTTTCAGCTCCTCCCTTATATTAGTTCTTCTGGGACCAAGAACAATTTGCTTAATATCTTGGGGTCTTTGTTTTCCCATGTGCTAAATGGGAAATATAAAAACTACTTCACAAGGCAGTTGTGATGAATACATGAATATATAATGCAACCTAAGCACTCAAAAGAATACCAAGGAGATGTTAAATGTTCAATAAATGCTAGCTATTAAGTAAAAGGTCTCCCAATGACACTTCTATCTGAAAAAAAACAAGAATTAAAGCTCTGTTTTGCTTCCTTCACTATGTGGTATCCAGCCAAAGCCTTTTGTGCCTGTGATTAAACAGGGAAGTGCCCAGGGAACACCTCAAGTAATTGAAAGCCAGTTCGACTTGAATGAAGGCTTAGGTCAAATTTGCTTCCAAGTTTCATGGATTAGTGCTAATTGTCCCATGGTGTCACCCTAATTTTTCCCATCAATAAATTACTGGTTCACAGTTTTGGTGTTGTACTCAAAGGCAATTCAGCCTACATTATTCAAGATGGATTATTGCAAATGCAATTTAAAAAATGGGGAAATAACATAATAGCTAATCCTTAGAAAGAGAATTCGCAACAAGATTGTAAAACGTTTGGTTAAACACTAGACTCAGGGTGTGGAATGCTGCAATGCCAGGCACAGTACATTCCAAGTAGGGAAATTCAGGGCAAGCTGCTTATTTCCCTGGACCTTCTCCTTCACTCTCATCTGTTTTCTCTTTCTATACCAGGCTCTCCCACCTTTCCTATCACTGCTGCTATGTAACTTTGGCCACCATTTGGAGAACTGGTTGGTAATAGGATGGCAACATTGAA